GGTGAAACCCCGTCTCTACTAAAAATACAAAAATTAGCCAGGCATGGTGGCAGGCGCATGTAATCCCAGTTACTTGGGAGGCTGAGGCAAGAGAATAGCTTGAACCCGGGGGGGGGCGGGGTGCAGAGGCTTCAGTGAGCCGAGACTGTGCCACTGCACTCCAGCCCGGGCGACAGAGTGAGACTCTGTCTCAAAAAATAAATAAATAAATAAAAATAAAATAAAAAAGGCTAAAAAGCTGCAGAATTTCCACTTTGTTGCTACCTCCCTTCTTTAGGTTTACTCATGCTCTTCCCAATTTTTGGACCTCAGGTCTTAAAAAGAGGACATTTATTGATGAATGAGAAACTGTCCCAATTATCTTCATAAAGACCTCCTCTCATAGTGCTCTGATCCTATTATAAAGCCATCTGTTTACTTTAAATCGTAAGAGCTCTGAGACATTCGTTTGGGAACATGTACAACAATTGAAGAGTGCAATCGACAATACAAAAAATTTTTCTAAGCCTATAATCCCAGCATTTTGGGAAGCCGAGGCAGGGAGATCACAAGGTCAGGAGATCGAGACCATCCTGGCTAACACAGTGAAACCCCGTCTCTACTAAAAATACAAAAAATTAGGCTGGGCGTGGTGGCTCAGGTCTGTAAACCCAGCACTTTGGGAGGCTGAGGCGGGCGGATCACAAGGTCAGGAGATCGAGACCATCCTGGCTAACACGATGAAACCCTGTCTCTACTAAAAATACAAAAAATTAGCCGGACATGGTGGCAGGCACCTGTAGTCCCAGCTACTCAGGAGGCTGAGGCAGGAGAATGGTGTGAACCCAGGAGGCGGAGCTTGCAGTGAGCTGAGATGGCGCCACTACACTCCAGCCTTGGTGACAGAGAGAGACTCTGTCTAAAAAAAAAAAAAAAAAAAATTTTTTTTCCTCTAAATCACATCAATACCAGCACAAAGGAAAAGTAAGAGAACAAGTGTTTTCTGTAGTATGATAAAAATGAAACAAATTGGATAAAGGCAAACCACTCCATGAAAATTTAGTATCACATGTAAATTAATAAAAGCTCTGGACCCATGGAAAAAAACACAGAAAAGAAAGTATAAGGTGGCTGCTGACACCAATAAATATAATTTGCACAGTGTTATATTTGTCACATATTAATTTAACTCATGAGGTTCATATTTGAATACAATTCTATGGATTTAGAAATTAAAGGCTGGGTGCAGTGGTTCACGTCTGTAATCCCAGCACTTTGGGAGGCTGAGGCGGGTGGATCACCTGAAGTCAGGAGTTTGAGGCCAGTCTGGTCAACATGACAAAATCCTGGCTCTACTAAAAATACAAAAAGTTAGCCAGGTGTGGTGGCGGGCACCTGTAACCCAGCTACTCAGGAGGCTGAGGCAGCAGAATCACTTGAACCCGGAAGGCATAAGTTGCAGTGAGCCAAGACTGCACCATTGCACTCCAGCCTCGGTGACAAGAGCAAAACTCCATCTCAAAAAAAAAAAAAAAAAAAAATTTAATTAATTAAAGAGAATAAGAAAATTAAAGCACACATCATGTAAGTTGCAAAACCTAAATTTAGGAGAATAGTACATACAGCTTTAAATTCAATGATGTATTAAACCCTCAATCAGGAAGAGTTAAATAACTGAATAGTTCCCAGTTTCTTGAGATCTGTTTACACAAAATAATGATTTCGTCAATTCGTTTTGATATAAAATGTCCAAGGTTCAACCTCACAAATAAGAACACAACAAGCTAATATGAAATTCACAAGGCTTTTAGTATTTATTTTCCTACAGCCAGGATAGTGATTATTCCCCAGGATTAAATAAGTAATATCAAATTTTATGTAATGACTTACCTGTTGACTTGAAAATTTCACTTTTGGATTGTTATCTATCTCCCATAAACCTTCATTAAAACCTTTTCTTTTATTTGGTTTGCCATATTTTTCCTTATTTTCTGAGTAAGGAAATATATCCTTTGGTCCTAAAAAAGCACTAAAAAAGGAGGAGGGAGGACGTGAGTACAAAGCAAGCTCAAATTTATTAAATAATACACCCTATTATGCAATTATCAAAAATGCATAATCTAAACTGCATTACAAATCTTATATAAGTTAAAGGACAATTAATAATTCCAAATACTTTCATTAAATTCACTAACAAGCTACTACTTAAATCTGTAATTCTATTAAGTAAAACCACAGAGGTTGCACAATGTGAATGTACTTAACACTGCTGAATGATACACTTAAAAATGGTTAAATCGCCAGGCGCGGTGGCTTACACCTATAATCCCACCATTTTGGGAAGCTGAGGCGGGTGGATTACCTGAGCTCAGGAGTTTGAGACCAGCCTGGCCAACATGATGAAACCCTGTCTCTACTAAAAATACAAAAATTAGGCGGGCATGGTGGCGCACGCCTATAGTTCCAGCTACTTGGGAGGCTGAGGCAGGAGAATCACTTGAATCCAGGAGGCGGAGGTTGCAGTGAGCTGACACGCCACTGCACTCCAGCCTGGGCAACAGTCAGACTCCATCTCAAAAAAAACAAAGTTAATAAATTTGGTTTTTTTTTAACCTACAATGATAAACTACAAACTTTGACACATTAGCATTAATCAATCATTTAACTGCACCCCAAATATAGTTTCACTTCAAAATAACTTCGTATATTATACAACTCACAAAACTTACCACGTTTTTAAAATGATCAATGAGCATGTTAAGAATTTTATTTTACTCAATGAGAGAATCAGACATGTTATAACCCATTCATTCATATACGTACAATCAATTCTTGCTATCTGCGGTAGTAATGTTCTATAAAGTCACTGTGAAAACTGAATTAGCAAATAACTCAACCATTGCTCCTAGGGGAAATACAGGGTTAAGTTCCTGTAATCACAAGGTTTTCATAAACCAATAAATACATAAACTCATTTTACGTGTGTTTCCATTTTAAAGATACCTTATTTAATACAGATTGCTAACTCATTAGCACTGAACTCATAGCCAACAGCGTATGTAACATGCGCTTTCTCTGTAAAGCACATTATAACCTTCTCGTACTTACCAACACTAAAGAACACTTTAGCATTAGGCTTGGGGGCTGGTTTAATTGGCAAAATGACCAACAAAAGCACAAAAATGCAAAAACCCATGGCAATAAACACATTGCAAAAAAGATACTTGCTTACAGTATGAGTGCTGAAAAAAAGAAGGCAAGCATTCCCTTGTTCAATCTCAGCTAAGAATGTGTTGTATCAGGACACTCAAATGTTTCTGCTACTCAGTGCATGTTTGTGACTGACCTGTACAACAAGTACTACTGATCTGGGCTTACAAATAAATTTCAGTGAGTAGGTACATTCGCAAATATGGAATCCACAAATAATGAGCCTCAACTGTTTGCATGTGTGTGTACATATATACACAGACAGTTCTTAATTTACTAAAAGGTTATGTCCCAATAAACCCACTGTAAATCTAAAATATCTTAAGTCAGAAATCCATTTAAATACCATGAAAAACCCACTCAAGTCAAAAATCTAAGTTGAACCATTGTAGGCGTGTTAGTCCATTCTCACACTGCTATGAAGAAATACCCGAGACTGGGTAATTTCTACAGAAAAGAGGTTTAATTGACTCACAGGTTCCACATGGCTGGGGAGGCCCCAGGAAACTTACAATCATGGCAGAAGGCACCTCTTCACAGGGCCTCAGAAGAGAATGCATGCAAGCAGGGAAAATGTCAGACCCTTATGAAACCATCAGACCTCATGAAACTCACTATCACAAGAACACCTCCATCATTCAATTACCTCCACCTGGGTCCACCCTTAACACATGGGGATTATTAGAATTCAAGGTAAGATTTGGGAGGGGACACAGAGCCAAACCATATCATTCTGCCCCGGCCCCTTTCACAATCATGCCCTTTTAACAGTCCCCCAAAGTCTTAACTCATTCCAGCATTAACCCAAAAGTCCAAGTCCAAAGTCTCATCTGAGACAAGCCAAGTCTCTTCCACCTAGGAGCCTGTAAAATCAAAAGTTAGTTAGCTACTTCCTAGATACAATGGGGGGACAGGTATTGGCTATATACACCCATCCCAAATGGGAGAAATTGGCTAAAACAAAGGGGCTACAGGCCCCATGCAAGTCCGAAATCTAATAGGGGCAGTCAAGTTCAAAAATGATCTCCTTTGACTCCATGTCTCACATCCAGATCATGCAAATGTAAGAGGTGTGCTCGCATAGCCTTAAAATGCTCTGCCCCTATGGTTTTGTATGCTACACACCCCACCTTGGGGCTGGCGTTGAATGTCTGCAGCTTTTCCAAGTGCATGGTGCAAGCTGTCGGTGGATCTACCATCATGGGGTCTGGGGGATGGTGACCTTCTTCTTATAGCTCTACTAGATAGTGCCCCAGTGGGGACTCGGTGTGGGGGATCCAACCCCACATTTCCCTTCCACACAGTCCTAGCAGAGGTTCTTGAACCATGAAGTCTTTGTCCCTACAGCAAACTTCTACCTGGACATCCAGGCATTTCCACACGTCTTCGGAAATCTAGGCAGTTTCCCAAACCTCAATTCTTGTCTTCTGCACACCCGCAGACCCAACACCACGTGGAAGCTGCCAAGGCTTGGGGCTTGCACCCAATGAAACAACAGCCTCAGCTATACCTTGGTCCCTTTTAGCCAAGACTGGAGCAGCTGGGACACAGGGCACCAAGTCCCAAGGCTGCACGCAGCAAGGGAGGCCCTGGACCCAGCCCAGGAAACCATTTTTCCCTCCCAGACCTCCGATCCTATGATGAGAGGGGCTGCCATGAAGGTCTCTGATATGCCTTGGAGGCGTTTTCCCCCTTGTCTTGATTAGCATTTGGTGGCCAGCTTGAATTTCTCCCCAGAAAATGGGTTTTTCTTTTCTACTGCATCATCGGGCTGCAAATTTTCCTTTTATGCTCCGTCACTTCCTAAATGCCTTGCTGCTTAGAAATTTCTTCTGCCAGATACTCTAAATCATCTCTCTCAAGTTCAGAGTTCCACAGATCTCTAGGGCAAAGGAAAAAAGCCACCAGTCTCTCTGCTAAAGCACAGCAAGACTGATCTTTACTCCAGTTCCCAACAAGTTCCTCATCTCCATCTGAGACCACCTCAACCTGGAGTTCGTTGTCCATATCATTATCAGCATTTGGGTCAAAGCCATTCAACAAGTCTCCAGAAGTTCTCAACTTTCCCATATTTTCCTGTCTTCTTGTGAGCCCTCCAAACTGTTCCAACCTCTGCCTGTTGTTACCCAGTTCCAAAGTCACTTCCACATTTTCAGGTATCTTTACAGCATCACTCCACTTTCTGGTACCAATTTACCGTATTAGTCGGTTCTCATGCTGCTATGAGGAAATAGCCAAGACTGGATAGTTTATAAAGAAAAGAGGTTTAATTGACTCAAAGTTCCGCATGGCTGGAGAGGCCTCAAGAAACTTACAATCATGGCAGAAGGTACCTCTTCACAGGGGCGCAGGAGAGAGAATGAGTGCAAGCAGGGGAAATGCCAGACACTTAAACCATCAGATCTCATGAGACTCACTATCATGAGAACAGCATTTGGGAAATTACCCCCATCATTCAATTACCTCTACTTGGTCCTGTCCTTGACCTGTGGGGATTATTAGAATTCGAGGTGCGATCTGGGTAGGGACACAGAGCCAAATCGTATCAGTAGGTCAGGGACCATCTGTACATATATATTTAGATGCATTATCCAGGACGGACCCTGTACATCTCCTCCCCACATCAGTGAGTCATATAGAAGTCTGTCAGTTCTATAAAGCTAGACATAAGTATGTTGATAATTTTACTATGACAGCTGATATACATATACTCCCCAAAGCAACAGGAAAATGGAATTGATACTTTTTTCCTCTAAAATGTACTAACTTTTAAAATTATTACTATCGTTAGATGTATATCACAAATTCCTTATCTGCTAAAATTCTTTAAGAATTAGGGAACTAATGAGTACAGTTAACATTCTAGTTAGAATTTTTAAAAGGCTCTAAAATAAAATTTCAATTAAAAGAAAGCTTAAGAGTTCTATTTAAATATGGCCGGGAGTGGTGGATCATGCCTATAATCCCAGCACTTGGAAGGCCTAGCCGGGGGGATCACCTGAGGTCAGGGTCAAAAGCCAGCCTGGCCCACGTGGCAAAACACTATCTTTACTAAAAATACAAAATTAGCCGGGCGTGGTAGCGCACACCTATAATCCCAGCTACTTGGGAGGCTGAGGCAGGAGAATCGCTTGAACCCAGGAGGTGGAGGTTGTGGGAAGCCAAGATCGCACCACTGCGCCCCAGCCTGGGCAACAAGAGCAAAAGTGCGCCTCAAAAAACTAAAATAAATAAATATATATATAAAATGAAGGTATATAAAAGTCAGCTTTAATATTTAAATTCTGTAATGTTCATTGTATCCATGTATTTTAACTGCACATCCCATTTTCAAAGTAATATTATGCTAGGATTAAGGCAAACCAATTATTTACCAAATTTACTTTGGAGTTAAACTGAAATCATCTCATTCCATCAAAAACTGAAGATTTTACTAGATATCATTAATTTCTGTCCATAATCTAAAATTAGAAAAATTAACACATTTAGCTATAGCAGTACAACATTCCTCTTATGTAACAGGTTTCAAATTCCAAGTAAATGACTTGAGTTAAATCTCCATGAAAATATATTTCTGGTCAGAACAAACCAATTCAACACAAATTCTCCCTCCTGAAAAACAACAGTAAAGAGATTATTTTAAAAGTATAAACTCTTAAGACAAAAATAAAATTTGGAAGCTAAAAACAAGACTGAAGAAGTTGAATCTTAAGCACCCCCATTTACTAAATTAACATCCCCAAAGGGCTCAAAATTGCGGTCACCAGGAACTTCAGGAGTAGGAAAAGACCTCAAAAATAATTACAAGAAAATGTTTTA